AAAAAAGGGAGAATTTCACTTTTTCTTACTATTTCTGTTTCCATTTTTACCCACAGCAATGCCTAAAAGTCACAGATAATTCACAATCTGAAAAATAAACATTTACAGATTCAATACAAAACAAATATGTAAAAAGTCTTGAAATAATATTTAAAATAATTCACCTTCTTTGGTAGAAATTAGTATATTTGGTTCCCTTTTTGCATATGTATTTTGTGCAAGGATCTCAAATTCTGTTTCTGAGGGCCTATTATGTGCTAGGTGCTATTCAAGATACCGGTAAACAGAAATGGACAAAACAATGATCTCTAACCTCATGGGCTTATGTTTAGGGGAAAGGGAACAATAAAGAAAACAAGGAAAATATATAATATGATAAATAGGAATTATTGCTTAGTAGATAAAATAGGAGAGGGAAATATTATGAACTTGAGAGTAAACTTTTAGGCTAATTGATAAGGAAATTGCTGCAATAGCAAAGAGGAATCACCCTAGGTCTTGACCTTTGCCTTGTCTTAGTCTATGAAGAACTCTACTGACCAACTCATGTACCCAAAACTAGTTCTGAAAAACAGCAAATTTCTAAAGCACTTGAATAGGCATTTATTTAGTCTGAGACTACAGAAGAAAGAAAACACATCTAATGATGCATTTAAGAGATAGAGTCTGCAAAGGGACATTGAATAATGAGACAGGAGAGAAGTTTCTTTTGTCTTTGCTGAGAAAGGCCCAGGGAGGAGAAGGTCAGCAGTAACAAAGGAGAGAAGAAAGCATATATTTTTCCTTGGGTCCTAATTTTTTGCAAATTTAAAAAATAAAAAGGTTACACATGTTGAAGATTTTATGTGAAGATTTTATGTAAAGATTTTGGGATAATGAATTTAAATTAGTCTTGAAAGTTGGAATATATTGACACTAACAGTGAGGTACATTACTTTCTGATTAATGAAAAATCCCAAATATTTTGAGTGTAACTATCATAGAGTATCTATAATAGGAAGAATATGAGTACATGTAAAATAAAGAAATGGGTAAAAACTTCTTGACTATATTTTGGTGAGATGTAATGTACAATCTCTTCAAACCAACTACTTATATTGAAAAAGTCATGAAGTTAAAAATTATTAAACATATGAAATTTTACTCAATTCCAATTATGTAGTATACCATGAACACGCAAAATACATATGTTTCAATGGCTATGAGTTCTGTCTTTTAGTTTAGAATGCAAGAACTTTGATATTACCTCTGCAGTATAGTAAACGCTGAGATAGTAGGGATGTGAAGATTTGGCCAGATTCAGAACAGAGCAAGGAAATGGATTCGAACTTGGTGATTTAGAGTGTGGGAACTCATGTCGACTTTAGGATATGCACTTGAGTGAATTTTACTTAAACAAAGGGAAAGCTGGCAAATGAATGTTTCAGAAAGAGTCAAAGCTTGCCTCATATGCTATCTATGGAGCAAGAGAATCCAATTTGATAACATTTGAAGGGGAAAATTGTACCAAAAAATTACAAAGAGCTTTTGCTCCCTAAAAAGGGTTGTTTGGCAAAGTGCCTGCTTTCACATTAGATTCCACTTACGATGTTTTCATTATAGAATTTACTTTTCTGCTTTTTTTTTTTTTAATTTCCCAAGCTTAACTTAAAAGTATTTCTACAGAATTATTTATATTTTATCTCATTCTCGTTATGGTAGTTCCTAAAATAAAATACACAAATGCTTATTGGTTTTGCTGCTTTTTAATGCTATGGAATCCTGCATACTGTGTATACAGTAATAGGGAAATTAAAAATTCCATGAGAGGAAAAAAATTAAGACACATAAAAATATGGGAAAATATATTGATTTTTTAAATTATTAATTTTAGATTTTTATGATAAAACATATCAATTGTATGTCCCTCTCTATTGTCTTAAATATCATCAAGCACATATCTCTTTATAGAAAAGAGAAAAACTGGGATAATCACTAATATTCCAAATTCTGTCAAACCAAAAACTTGCTGCAATTTCTCCTCATGACACTGATCTCAGACATTTATTCTCAGTAAAATAAGTGAAGAAATTAGTAACTGTCTAATTGGTGAAACTCTTGGGGTAGTTGTATAAAGTTCATTACTGTTCAGACATTTAATAGGCAAATGTCCTCTCGGCAACTCCAAATGGCTGCAGTTCCTATTGAATACAATTCTCTTTTCAAGCCATTGATGTGAAATGATTCTATTGACACTAACTTTTGAAGAAAACCTTTAGTTGAAGGGAACTATGTCCAACATTTATCTCTATTGGTGGATTTTTTTCATTTTATATATTCTTCTTTTATTTTTTATGTGAGAAGGAAAAAACAAAATCAGATCAAACACATCTGTAGAACAAAGCACGAGGGTTCACACTAATGTGCAGGGATGAGAAGATTTTGCTCTAATTTGCTCTCAAAAGCCCTGATGCTTTTTCCCATACCCCATATGCAGGCATGACAGTGGATACCTCAGCCACTTTTGCACAATGCTTAAGAAATGTGTTTCTCACTTAAATTGCAGTTTCCACACTTTTCTGAACATATCTCTTAAACTTTTTTTGTCTTCTTTGCCTTTTTTTGAAAAGAAATAGAAAGTAAGTTTAGAAATAAGCATGAGTGGAATAACTTGTTAGATTTGGAGATGGAGCAGTACTTTTCATTCTTCCAGGCATGTATTTGAAAAGAATTTGCACCTAAATTGCCTTGACTGACTGTTTCTATTCCAAGTTAAGTCATGATACCAGTTGAGTAAAGACACCCAGAAAACCCTTCTGGGCATTGCAAGGTTTCTCTTCCCTTTGGCGTTTGAAGTCAATACTGACAACATATCTACTGTCCACTGGTCCTTTAATCAGTGTCCAGACTATCCGATGAGAATAGCCCCAGGATGGAGCCCCAGACCAGGCCATGAGCAGCACCCTTTTGTCCCTCTCACATGGATGGGACATGATTCCACAGGATTAGCCAACAATTATATGCTCTGAACTGATCAATTCAGTCAATTTACTGTGCAAAGTAAATTGATCCTTCAGAACAAAGGGTTCTGTCAGCAGGGAGCTACCTGAGAAAGCAGCATGCCTGTGTAAACAGTTCTGTCCTTGTCCCAGTGTGGAGTGGCCCTGCGCCATATGGTGCCACTATGAACTTATTAGCTGACGGATTAACTGATCTCTGCATTTGGGATCCCCAGTTTCCAGCTGTGAGAATGATTGATGGGCTAACTACTGCTCCAGTCTTGGAAGTTATTTCCTCCATTTAACAGAGTCAAGAAGACAGAAAATTGCCCCCTTTGTAAATGCTAATCTCACCACTCCTTCGAACACCCAACATAGCAATTTATTCAAGGCAAAGTCTTAAAATTGGTATAGTGCACATCAAATGCATACTAATTAGCAATTTCTTTTGAAGGCTCCATCACTTATTAAGGGTCTCCTTTTCCATATGTTCATCATGCCCCACTTCACCCTTTAATTACAAAACAGCACTTTCAACTAATTGTGAGAAGGTATATTGTGCCCGGAATCTGTATTAAACTCTATACCTTCTGATGCCTAATTTAGGGTCATATCGAAGGCAGACAGATAAGCAGGCAAAAAAGCTTACAACTGTCATCTGCAATTTTAGGCATATTTGGGTGTTGTTCAGAAAGAACATTTTATCTAAGATGCCAGCTATGACATTCATCAGTGGGCATTACCACAAGCACTGAGTAGAAAGAAGGGGTTGATTCTAGGTTAATAAATAGAATCGTTCCTTCTTTGAGGGAAGCCCACATAAACTCGACAGATACATGATAATATTATTTGTAACTTTGTAATTTCTTCACCTATATATATGTAAAAGGACCACACAATTTTAAAAGGTTAATAGCCTGTTATTTAAATATGTATATCATAGTTGCACTATAGAGAGGGGAATTTTGCAAAATACACCTGCATAACACTTAAAATAAATGCCTCTCCTCTTGGGGAATGTTGATGTTTTCCGTCATTAAATAAAACCCAAAGTCTCTAAGTCACCTAGATAACTCTAACCTTGATCCCAAGTATATGTCTGTCATTTATCATCCTCCCTAGAATGTTTTATGAAAGACCTAGTCAGCTCCTTTCTCTGGACCTCTTTTTCTGCAGAATTTTCTAGACAATCTAGTGATACTTCCTTGTTGATGTTGGTTCCCAGAGATAGAACTGGTGGGAGTTTATGGTTCAGGTATATATAGGCTACAAAATGGAGACAGACCCAAAGAAACCTTTGGATTTGGGGTGGAGAAAGGGGAGATAAGGGATTCGCACTGTAAAAGCAGTTCATTTTTTCACAAGTCTTCAGTGAACCTTACTTCATCAGATAACAGTAGAACCCTGTAAATAAGCCAAGGAGCCAGACCAATCAATCTATCTTTAAATTAAGACTACTTTGATGTAGCCTTCAAAACCATTCCTAAATTTGCAGTTGATGTATGGCAGAGATGGGAAAACCATGAATGGCAAAGTAAGTATAGACCCTGGTTTTTTTTTTTTTTTTTTTTTTTTTTTTCCTCTAGAAATTAACTGCAAAGATTCTTGAGCAGACCCTTAGTTGTTTGTTGTCTTCAGCCAAATGTCTTTATTCAAACCAAAATTGCATCTTTTTATGTTGGTTATTAAACTTCAATATCCAAACTCTCTGATTCAGAATCACTCCTTCAGACTGTGGTTTGGTAGATTCTAGTCAAGGTTTATCCAGGGTTTTAATCCTCCTTTTAGCCTTGTGTCTTTGGCCAGATTTTGACCTTTTTGAATCTCAGCTTCCTCATCTGAGATCATGAAGGGAATTATATCTCTCCTCAAAGATTTGGCTTATATCTGGTGTGCTGATAAGTGAGTATGCTAGTTTAGCATGAAACAGAGTTGGAGGCTAAGACTTTCCTTTGCTTCTCCTTCCTTTCATTTACTAACCACTTTAGCAACTTCAGTTTATCAGTTCAGTACCACACTTACCATTTAGGTATCTTCTGTAGAGAAAGAACCTGAGTATTTCTCTTCCCTAAAGAGAGCAGAAAGAAACTGTCATTAAAATAGAGGGAAAATAAAAAATACCATATTATCTTCTTTCAAGCAATATAACATATACCAAATATTAATGTAGTGTGTGTGGTGGGGGGTCAATCATTTATTTTAAAATGACTTTCTGAAATTTGCTTGCCCCCTCTTTCTTTCTTTCTTTCTTTCTTTCTTTCTTTCTTTCTTTCTTTCTTTCTTTCTTTCTTTCTTTCTTTCTTTCTTTCTTTTCTTTTCTTTTCTTTTCTTTTCTTTTCTTTTTGAAAGAGTCTCAATCTTTCGCCCAGGCAGGAATGCAGTGGTGTAATCCCTGCTCACATCTACCTTCGCTTCCCAGGTTCAAGCAATTCTCCTGTCTCAACCTCCCAAGTAGCTGGGATTACGGGTGTGCACCACCACACCCAGCTAATTTTTGTATTTTTAATAGAGACACGGTTTCACCATGTTGGTCAGTCTGGTCTTGAACTCCTGATCTCAGGTATCCACCCACCTCAGCCTCCCAAAGTGCTGGGATTACAGGTGTGAGCCACTGCACCTGGCTTGGTTGCTCTTTCTTTAATAAACAGTTGAATTTTCATATTGAAATGTGATGTGTGCAAAGAGAACAACTCATGTGATACTGGAATTAGAGGATGATCACTATATTTATGAAAAACTGGTGTCAAAGGAAAGTTGAGGAAGTCATCTGTATAAACCTGGCAAATAATTGTAAGGTAAGAATGATTTTAGCATTTTTTTATATTTTATGAGTCTAACATTCTTAGCAAGTTTATACTGAATTGAATTTTAGGGAGACAAATAGACCCCTCCAAATATCCTCAAACACACTAGACAGTCACTTTATTTTGACTTTGAAAATCTGACCTTAATAAATGCTTTTATTTATAGAAATCTTCATAATATTTTAACAGTCAGGTTAGATATACTTTGTTGGGATATCAAGAAGGTAAGCCACAATTTGTTCTTTGAAAGAAAATATGCAAATTCTGTTTCTAATTATTCATGCTAATTAGGTGGTTTACTCGAAAAAAGTGTGTTACAGATAAATGATTTACATTTGGTTGAAAAATACAGTCTATTACTTTTTCATCAGATTTATCGTTTCCTTTGCCTTCCCCGCCCTCATTCAGGCAATTCTTTTAGCCAAATATCAGCAAGCTTAATTTCCACCTCTGTATCAGATTATTCTAGAATGATCACATATTTAAGAGTGATAAAGGTGCCACAATATTTCAAAAAGTTGTTCCTTATTTGCTGTTTATTTTTTTACCCATGGGAGAAACTATGAATTATATATCATTCAAGTTAAAGAACCTCTACCTGTAAGTGTCAGGGGAATTTTACCTTTGAAAAACCTCTCCTTTCATCCCAACCAGTTTTTGGATTCCAAGTGACATGAGGGTAAGGAGCCTCTTTTATACATCTGTACATATCTGGTCTTTTAAAAAGAATAAGTGCTCAATGAATGTGGTTGAATGAAAGAGATAGTCATGGTCTATGAGAAGCATAGCTATTTGCTATCATATAGGACAAGAGTACCAAAGAACATTTGCAATATATACCAGTCTTGTACGGTATTCTGAGCCTTATTTAATGAGTTTTAAAATTGTGACTTTTACAGAGCCCAGTCAACCTCCACTCACCTCCTCTCATTCGCTCCAAACATCTGCTTCACAAAGATTGAGTATAGATGATCACTGATTCTGTATGGGCTAGTTCACATAATTTTGATCTGATCCTTTTTCACTACCCTTATTTGTGTGTATGTGTGCGTAAATAACAAGAGTGGGGTGGGCGGGTAGGTAAGTAGGTGAAAAATTTCTCCTTCCAAAGATTAACTGATTTTTTTATTTGGGGAATTTTTAGTGAATATGTATCAATTCATTTGATATTACAGAATGCAACAAACGTTTTCAGATTAGCTTGATGTTCATCTTTTGAGTTCTCAAAAGCTATACTTCACATTTCCTGAGAGTTATATTTTGAACCAGAATTTACTCCTTAGTTTCACATAATTTTTTTCAGTTTTTGGACTATTAAATTTTATAGTTCAAGGATTATTGTTGAGTGCTGTTTGCCTTCATGAGACTAATAATATTCCCGTGTTGAAAGTGGTATATTTTAAGTGATATATATATTCACAGCATAAAAATGTAGAGTACCTAAGTCATCACCAGAGGATTTTCCAGTTTTAAAAATCTTCACAAGTTTACATACTAAAGTTTTCTTGAAAGAAGAAAATCACTTTGACTATTACTTTGTATTTTTTTTTTAAATCAGTCACACAAAGGAAGGCAGGCAATGGTAGTAGATTACCTCATATATGTCATCATTTGGATAATACATGAATATACAACAAACAGTTGACCAACTGTAGAGTTCCTTCTCAGCCACAAATGTATAAATTCGGCAAGATCAACAGTACTGTGATAGTGACATTGCTTTCATAATAGAAAATAAGTAGTTCTTAAGAATAACCAGATCAGAAATGTGCCTCAAATACATTACCAATGAAAAAGAAGATTACATAAGTAATGAAACATATATGAAAGTCCAGTATTTTCAATTTGGTGGGAATTTTTGAAATTTACTCCTAAAATTTCTAGAAATGAATGCAAAGTTACCCAAGGAAATGATTAATAATATGAGGATTATATTGGGAACTATTCCTATTTTGGAAAATAAATCATAACTAGCATTTCTTACTGTATTTAGAGGTGTTTTGTCTTCTTTTTTGAAAGGGCCTTACACTTCCTATCTCCTTTCAAATATTTGTTATGACAGTGTTCTTCATTCGAATGAATAGAGATACTTTTCATTCATTTGGATAAAACCAGTATTGAAACATTTTTAGACTAACTCTTTTGCACACTTCTTTTAAACTAGAGATTGAGGAAAGAAACATGAAAATTGTACACCTTTATTTTTTATTCATTACTGTCTTGAAAGACTTAAAATGTTCTTTTTTTTTCCTAAATGGCAGCTGGATGAACAGCTCATATGCCAACTTAAAATCTGAATCAACATGAAATGACTGAAATTCTAAGCCTAAAAAAATTACTGTTTATAATGGAAACTCAAACATAATAGTCCATGATGGAAATTCAGTCACCATAGTCAGGTGGATGGTGATGCTGCAATAAGCAAATGTAATTAAGCTGTCTATAGCAGGAAGAGAGTTGACTAATCATTCATGGGGAGACTTATTGCTATCATTTTAAAAATTATTTTTTCTTAATTATCCTCAGGTATTTCACTTTCAGCTACAACTTAATGCAGATAAAACCTACTTCTGATTTCTCTTAATTACTAATGCTGTAAAGATGTTGCATCTTTTCCAAGCTCCCTTACAACCAACTTTCAAATCAATTTAGGCATCTTAAAAGCATTTCTAAAATACCAGATGCTCTGTCAGCTGCACAGAACAATGTGTTAATAATTATATTTCTCTTTCTTACAGCAGATCAAAGCCAGAGATGAGGTGACATACACCTAAGATATTCAAACTCCAGCTTGAAGGTCAATTGGATCTGCCGACATATGTTGCTGATTTTGTAACATGAAAGCCAGCTAAGAAAAACAGATCAGTGAATGCATATTCTTCGTATTCTTAATTTCAGCCCTATCCAAATGTTTACAGAATAGTTTGAAGAGATTTGCAGTTTCTTGTTATCAGTCTTATTAAGCCTTGGCAAACCTTTAATAACAAGTCTATCAACAACCCACCAGGGATTTGATTTTAGTCTTAGAGTGCCTGAATTTTTACGCTATTGAACAATTTTTAATTGGAAGCACCAGGACCTTTTCTGATCAGTTGTCCACATTGCCTCATGAATGTGTGGCATTCATGCTCAGCTTGAAAAGGCAATGGCAGCTGGGGAAAAAATAAGGCTTTGTGTAAGCCGAGAAGAGGGCAGGCAGGCAGGCAAACAGCAAGATTCCCCTAGAAGTAGCTTTAGTGTGGGTGTTTTAAGCCACACAGAAAAAAGTAAACTAGAACAATCACCACCTTGCACTTGCTTTATGTTTCCATGGTTTAACTTAAAACATTGGCACAAGGAGACAACTACCATTCTAAAGCCAGAGCACCTCAGTTAAGCTAGAATTGTGGGTCAGATCCATGTCTGTCAACTACATAGCACACTTGGAATTGCAATTTAGAAGGAGAGAAAAATAATATGGTAACAGTTTCCCCACTAGTAAATCCTACACACCCATGCCAGGGGAATTTTATCATGGTTATTCAAATGTCAAAACCTTCAAGGATTTCCATCTGCTCTTAGAGTAAAATATCAACTTCTACATTTGTATTTCAAAGCCCTCTCTAAAATAACAAATCCTACACATCCAGTTCTGCATGAGAGTCAGGGCTCTAAAGCCAGATCATCTGGGCTCAAACTCTACCTCCATTGTTTTCCAAGCTCTATCACCTTGCACAAGTCACTTAACCTCTGTGTGCCTTTGTCTTCTCCTTGCAAAATGCAGATAGAACATTGCCTCTATTACATGGCTCTTATGAAGATTAACTAAGTTAATATGTGAATGTTCTTAAACTGGCCTAGCACTTAGTGAGAATAAGCACGTATAAATACTTGAGTAAGGGATGTCCCACTGTACTACAGTGCATTATGTTCCTTCCTTTCTCTTTCTACTCATGGTTTTCTGTCTACTTAAAATTCTTTGCAAGGTTAGAAATGGAAGTAGTCAGAAACCAGAAAGCTAGCTAGAATGAAAATCACTGAAGCAGAAAGACTAGATTGTCCTTCCAGAAGAAGGGTCTCCTCAGAATTCTCCTAGAACTTTCCAGCCTCTATACATTTGCTTATTTAGTTCTCTTTTTATGGTATGCCTTTCCTTCTATCTGTTCAAAACCTACTCGATCTTTCAAAGACAAGATGGAATTCTCTCTGATGCCTTTCTCAAATGCTTTGGACTTACTCATGTTTTCATGAACTATATCTCCGATTGATCTGCCACTTTTTGGTCCTTAATTATATACTAATTTGTGTTGCAAATTAATATTTTCTTGCATATTAGTCTTATTTCCCCCAAGTAGATGGTTAGTTTATCAAGGACAAGAGCAGAGACTTATCTTATATTTTGTGTGGAGCTGAGCTTAAAGTAAGTACTCAATAAATTCTATTGAATAGACTTTAATAAAGTCAATTAATGTCCTCTCCTTCAATCCTGTCTGCAATAGTCAGTCACAGTAACTAAAAACAAGAGGTTTAACAAAAGATCAATAAAAGTCTGGAAATATCATGAATAAGAAACTAAAACTGACTACCAAAGCCAAGGTAGATTTTGATGGGCTGAAGCTGAAAAAAAAAAATGGTTCTTCCTCTAAAATATTTTACAATTTGTTTCACATATTTAAAATATATTTGCAAGTGAGGAAACTGGACACAAATAATTTCACAATGAATTAAGTCAGAACAAGTGCTCAAACCTCTATCTTCTGGCACTAATCTGTCTTAACTCATAGTGGGATTCTGTGTGTCCAGTGCACCTATATCTACCACACTGTGGATTACAGTGAGAAAAAGGATTATCCAGAGTGGTTAAGTCTCCAGATTTGTTCATCTAGGTGGAGTTAAAAAGTCCATTGGCAAGTAGATTGTTCCCCAATTTCTGTAAGTAATGGCTACTAAAAAACTCTTCCCATCTGAAACTTAGCATTTTGGACATGTGGTAGGCTCTTACTCCTTGTTAAACAACAGTGTTGTTATTTCTGCAATTTTGATATTTGGTGTGTACTCTTATTTCCTGGCTGTTCATAGTTTATGCCAATTATGCCAAATTTTTATTAAATTTATCCAAATTTTATTTGTCATCCAATATTTATTTGACTAACTTGCCAATTTCTCAGTGCATATTTATCCAAGAAGAACAGAAGTATAGTCAGTACAGTTTTCATACCAGCCAGGTTATATAATAAAAACTAACCTTTGGTGACTATATTTGTATATTTAATATTAAGTATAGATCACATGCGGCTGCTTGACTTCTGATGCAACCCTATGCATTTTGAAATAGATCTGAGACTCCTTGTAGGAATAGACAATGGTCTCTTCAATTGAATTTTTGCTGACTTTTCTCAATATGTGAAAATCTCTTTTAATGTTCCTGACTCTACCCTATCTAGGTTCTCCTCCTGTGTCTTCCTTCACTCCTTTAATAAATCTTAGTACTCAGTCCTCCACTGTATTTTCTATATAATGCCTCAGATTTCATCTCAGTCACTGTAGTGCTTTCACTATTTCTGCATAGACGGTGCTATAATATTTACTTTAGCCTTCAAAATTCTAACCAGCTCTTCTCCAAAAGCCTACTAGACATTTCTTCTTGGATAACCTACCTATACTTCAAGTTGGATGTATTTTTAACTGAATTCATCATGTCCCTGAAATTGTCTCCGTCTTTTAATTTTCTTAACACTATTCCTCCCATTCATTAGGAACTTCAGAGTCGCCTTTGACTCCCCTCCTTTCTTGACTCCGTATCCATTTGGTCGTATAGTATTGTCTGTTTGATCATCTTGATATCTGCAAAGTCCATTTTTCCTTCTGGCACTTCCTTTTCCATCTCTTCAACTGGACTGGCACTGTAGTTCAATGCCCAGAAATACACATAATAATTACTTGTTGAATTAATTAATGAATAACTTTCCTATCTCAATTTTTCATGCCTTCAATATATTCCAGATTAATTATTTCTTTGAAATGACATATTTATCCTGTTACTTATACTGGAAAGCCTTTATGAGCTTTCGCTCTTCTCTAATAGTGCTTCCCTTTCCTCACTTTGCATTAGTACCACCTGGGGAGATTGTAGAGAATCCTGTGCCCAAGCCTCATCTAGACACATGAAGAAGACTCTCTGGACATAGGACCCAGACATTGAGGGGTGATATCCAAAGAATTTTACCGGTGATATGACAGAAACACTAACCAATCAAAACCGCTTTCCTGACCAATCATGGATTATGGCTGCAAAAACCAGAATGGTCCTAAATACTATCTAATTATCAGCCCTGCCCATATTCATATTTATTAAGATCTCAAAAAGGTAATTCTAATGAACCACTGATTACAAAATACACTCATATTTCTGACCCTGGCAAGCAAGACTCTTTATAATAAGTCCTAAATTTCCCTTTAGAACATTATTGCCTCTATCTTTTATATGAAATCTCTGCTCTAATCATCTTATATCCACTAACTATGCCTTGCTCATTGCCATTTCCTGGCTTTTACTTACAGAGTAGGTGTTCTATGACAGGGTACAAGTTTGCTTTATTTCATTTTAATGGAAAATAGAGTGAATGTAAAGTAGAACGTTAATGCACTCAACCAATCAAGCAGTAATTTACAGTGTTTGTGAACTTTTTAGGACGTCTATGTTTGCTTACCAAGAATGGCACTGAATTACAATAAATGATGAAAAGTTATAATCATGGAATAAAGGGGAGCAGAGATGAAATGTTCAAGCCTTGGCTATGGAGGAAGAAAATTGCTGATGGAAAGAGAATGGCCGTGTATGTCTACTAAACATCATACTCTAGATCTTTTTAAAAGCAATTGTTTTGTGAATTTCTAACTTTTCTTTTATGAAGTTATGTTTCATTCCTTTACATAATGTGAGGAAATGTTGATCAAAAATGACTGAAGTGTGTTGAAAAAAGAATAATCTCCAAAAATAATGCAAAGTAATTCTATTGTTACTATTCACGGAGCTCTTTCCTTACATTGTGTTTTTAGTGTCCTTGGCTACTTCCTAGATCCAACATGTGCAACAAAAATGCTAAAATGTAAAGAACACAATTTAGGGGTCAATAAAATTTTATCAGATAGATGCCTCACTCACAAGAAGACTCAGATGACACATGAAGGGCACTGATGTAGGAATAACTAATCATTGTTAACTGTACTCATGGGAAAAATCAGCCATAATTTCCGTGTTCAAGTAAGAAGAAAATTTTAAGTCATTGCATTATATCACATCTAGTTCCAGAAGCCTGTTTTGGGTTATTTGTGCCCTGGGAATTCCTGGAAATTCACAGACCAATTCTACGATAAGATGATTGAACTAGTCTTATCCTAGAATTATCCTAGAAGTACTTATAAATACATAATAAAGTCATTTAATAAAATAATAGTCTGTTCTTCACTGCTTTAAAGAACTACTTGAGACTGGGTAATTTATGAAGAAAAGAGGTTTCATTGACTCACAGTTCTGCAGACTAGACAGGAACATGACTGGAAGGCCTCAGAAAACTTACAATCATGGTGGAAGGTCAAAGAGGAAACAAGTATGTCTTCGCATAGTAGCAGGAGAGGGATAGAGTGAAGGGAGAAGTGTTAGACAATTTTAAACAATCAGATCTTGTTAGAGCTTACCCATTATGATAATAACTGCAAAGGGAAAATCCACTTCCGGTGATCTCATCACCCCCCACCAGGCCCCACCTCCAACACTTACAATTCAACATGAGATTTGGTTGGGAATTCAGAGCCAAACCATATCAATGATTTTATAGTGTTTTGTACCAACCTGGAGTGGAGTTTTCAATTAACTCCTAAGAGAATGTTTGATTAACTTATTTTTAATTTTTATTTTTTTGAGATTGAGTTTCATTCTTGTTGCCCAGACTGGAGTGCAATGGCACAATCTTGGCTCGTTTTAAACTCCACTTCCCAGGTTCAAGTGATTCTCCTGCCTCAGCTTCCTCAGTAGCTGGGATTACAGGTGCCTGCCACGATGCCAAGCTAATTTTTCTTTTTTCTTTTTGTATTTTTAGTAGAGACAGGGTTTAACCATGTTGGCCAGACTGGTCTCAAACTCCTGACCTCAGGTGGTCCACCCACCTCGGCCTCCCAAAGTGCTGGGATTGCAGGTGTGAGCCACCAGGCCTGGCCTGATTAACTCTTTTAAGTGAAGTACTCAGAGACAACTATTTGGCTCCAACATGCTCTTTTAAGCTCTTCCTTTTCATATTTCATGCAAAGCCTTTTGATAGTCAATTGCATTTATGAAGTTATTCCAAAATTTTGGAGCTCAGTCAAATAATTTCCAAAAGCACAGAGCTGCAATTGGCAATATGGTAGGCAAGATAATAGTCCCCTACAAAGATGACCATATCCTGATCCTTATAATCTGTGAATCTGTTAAGATACATGGCAAAAAGAACTTTCCATATGCAGTTAAATTAAGGACCTTGGGATAGGAGGATTACTCTGGAGTATCTAATCTAATCACACAAATCCTTAGAAGCAGAGAACTTTTCCTGCCTGTGGTTAGTGACCATGTGATGATGAAAGGAGAGTCAGAGAGATTCTACATGGCTGGCTTTAAAAATGCAGGATGGCCAATGCCCAGAAGAGTTTTCCCTAGGTTATCTTCTAGCGGTTTCAGGGTTTTTGGTCTTCAATTTAAGTCTTTGTCCTACCTTGAGTTGATTTTTGTATAAGGTGAGAGATAGGGATCTAGTTTTATTCTTCTACATGTGGCTAGCCAGTTTTCCTAGCACCATTTATTAAATAGGGTGTCTTTCCCCCAATTTATGTTTTTGTGTGCTTTGTTGAAGATCAGTTGGTTCTAAGTATTTGGCTTTATTTCTTGGTTCTCTATTCTGTTCCATTGGTCTATTTGTCTACTTGGTTCTCTATTCTGTTCCATTGGTCTATTTGTCTACTGTTACATACTGGTACCGTGTTGTTTTGGTAACTATAGCCTTGTAGTATAATTTGAAGTCTGATAGTGTGATGTCTCCAGTTTTGTTCTTTTTGCTTAGTGTTTCTTTGGCTATGCAGGCTCTTTTTTGATTCCATATGAATTTTAGGATTTTTTTTTTTTATTTCTGTGAAAAATGATGTTAGTATTTTGATAGGAATTGCATAGAATCTGAAGATTGCTTTGGGCATTATGGTCATTTTTGTGATATTGATTCTTCTAGTTCATGATCATGGGATGTGTTTCGATTTGTTTGTTTAATCTCTGATTTCTTTTAGCAGTGTTTTGTAGTTCTCCTCGTAGAGCTCTTTCATCTCCTTGATCACCTATATTCCTAGGTCGTTTTTTTTTTCTTTAGCTATTGTAAAAGGGATTAAATTCTTGATTTGATTCTCTGCTTGGTTATTGTTGGCATATAGCAGTGCTACGAATTTGTGTATCTTGATTTTGTAGCCTGAGACTTTACTGAATGTGTTTATCAAATCTAGGAGTCTTTTGGAGGAGTCTTTAGGGCTCTCCAGGTATACAATCATATCAGTGAGCAGTGACTGTTGGACTTCCTCTCTTCCAATTTAAATGCCCTTTATTTTTCCCTCTTCCCTGATTGCTGTGGCTGGGACCTTCAGTATTATCTATGTTGAATAGAAGTGGTGAAAGTGGACTGGCCATTGGCCTAGGCAAAGAATTTATGACTAAGACCACAAATTCAAATGCAACAAAACCAAAAATAAATAAATGGGACATAATTAAATTAAAGAATCTGTTCAGAAAAAGAAATAATCATCAGAGTAAACAGACAACCCACAGAGTGGGAGAAAATATTTTTGCAAACTGTGCATCCAACAAAGGACTAATATCCAGAATCTATAAGGCACTCAAATCAGCAAGAAAAAAACCCAAATAATCCTGTCAAAAACTGGGCAAATGACATGAATAGACGTTTTTGAAAATACAAATGGCCAAAAAACATGAAAAGATACTCACCATCACTAATCATCACGGAAATGTAAACTAAAACCACAATGAGGTACCTCCTGACTACTACAAGCATGACCATTATTAAAAAGTCAAAAAACAATACTTGTTGGCATGGATGTGGTGGAAAGGAAATGCTTATACACTGCTGATTGGAATGTAAATTAGTACAACCTCTATGGAAAACAGTATGAAAATTTAAAGAACTAAAAGTAGATCTACCATTTGATCCAGCAGCCCCACTGCTGGGTATCCACCTAAAGGAAAATAAGTAATATCAAAAAGACACCTGCATGTGTATGTTTTTGGCAGCACAATTCACAATTTCAGATATTTGGAACCAACCTAAGTGCTCATTGACCAATGAATAGATAAAGCAAATATGGTATATATACACCCTGGAATACTACTCAGCCATGAAAAAGAATAAAGTAATATTTTGCAGCCACTTAAATGGAGCTGGAGGCCATTATTCTAAGTGAAGTAACCAAGGAATAGAAAACCAAATATTGTATATTCTCACTTATAAGTGGGAGTTAAGCTATGGGTACACAAAGACATACAGAATGATATAATGAACTACAGAAACTCAGCAGTGGGATAGTGAGAATGGGGGGCAAGGGATAAAAAAACTACGTATTGGATACAATGTACACTACTGAAGTGCCAGGTGCTCTAAAATCTCAGACTTCATCACTACACAATTTATCCATGTAACAAAAACCACTTGTACCCCAAAAGCTACTGAAAAAAAATTTTTTTTAATGAAGGAAGGGAATCTTGAGCCAAGGAGTGTAGGTTGTCTTCAGAAGCTGTAAAATCATGGAAGCAGTCTTTACCCTAGAGGCCTCAGACAGGAATGCAGCTTTGCCTACAATCTTGATTCCAGCCTACAGACTTCTGATCTGCAGGCTGTATGATAATAAGTTTATGTTTTAGACCACTATGTTTGTAGTAATTTATGGCAATTATAGAAAATGAATAGGAGTCTGCATGGACATTTGTCTTAATGGGGAGTGAGGAGGGCTTAAAAAATACAAACCCCTCTCAAAGCATTTACTAAGAAATATTTGTTGATGAGCCTAGACTCCGTTTTTTGTTTAAAACTGCTCAATTATTATGTAATGGAATTGTAATTTCTATGCATTTGTTGGGTTGGCTATTACATAATTTTCTTTTAAAAAATAGTTTAGTTGAAATATAATTCATATGTAATTTGCCAATTTAAAGTGTACAATTCGGTGTTTTTAATGTATTCAAAGGGTTGTGCAACCATCACAACAATCTAATTTTATAACATTTTCAACATCTTAAAAGAAATCCCATACCCTTTAGCAGTCAATCCCTTTCCCCTCATCCAGAGTCCTAAACAAATGCTAATCTACTTTCTGTCTTTATTATTTTGTCTATTCTAGACATTTCATATAAGTGGAATCCTAAAACATGTGGCCTTTTGTGTATGGCTTCTTTGACTTAATGTAAGGTTTTCGAGGTCCAATTACACTGCAGTACATATCAGCACTTCATTCCCTTTTATTAGTGAATACTATTCCATTGTATGGATATACCATTTCCACATTTCGTTTGTCCACTGAACAGTTGAATTGTGCTCTGATGGTTAAAAGACAAAATTGTCAACCATTCTGTATTGACAGTGGATGTAGACTTTTTTTTCAGATGGATAAAATGTATATGCTACAGATGTAAATCTTCCATGTAAAAAAATTTGTACAGCTTTCTGTACAATTGATTCTCATCTGGCATATTCTAATCAGGTTATAGGTCAATAAAGTTTTTGACTTATTTCAATAAAAACCAGTTGATAGAAATTTAGGTTGTTTCCACTTTTTATTTATTATAAACAATGTTGCTATGTTATGAATATTTGTATACAAGTTTTTGTATACATGTACATTTTCATTTATCTTGGGTATATACTTAGGAGTGGAATTGTTGGATCATATGATATGCTTAATGTTTATTAGACATGTGGTTAATGTTTTGAGGAATTACTGAACTGTTTTCCAAAGTAGTTGCATTATTTTTCATTACTTCTATAATGTAACAAGAATTCCAATTTCTCCATATCCTAATTAACACTTGTTATTGTCTGTCTTTTTAATTGTAGTCGTCCTAGTGGATGTGAAGTTATATTTTATTATGATTTTGATTTGCATGTCTCTGGTAACTACTGATGTTGAGTATCTTCATGTGCTCATTGGCCATTTGTGTACCTTTGGAGAAATGTCTGTTGAAATCTTTTGCCTGTTTTAAAATAAGTTTGTCTTTTCATTATTGAATTTTAAAGACCTTTAAAAACACATTCTGAGTACAAATCCATTATCAGATATATTATTAGTAAATATTTTCTCCCATTCTGTAGAGTTATGTTCTCATTTTCTTGATGGCATCTTTTGCATCACAAAAATTTTAATGTTGATGTAATTTCATTTATCTATTTTTTTTGTTGTTGTTGCTTGTGCTTTTGGTATTGCATCTAAGAAATCATTACATAACACAAAGTCATAAGAATTTACACCTATGTTTTCTCGTATTTTAGCTATAACAGTAAGGTCTTTGATCCACCTTGGGTTAATTTTTGTGTATAGT